TCTTTCCTGTGCTGGAGGAAAGAAAACCTTAGGCTTGATTCACTGCAGAAGTTCCTCTGATCTTAATGGATGTGTAGTTTTGGAGAGAGGAGACAATTAGTGTGCTTGGCTTTTCAAACACATACATGTTCTGAGGACCTGAACTTCAGAGATTACTTTGAACTCAGTGGAAGTCTCACAGAAGCGTAACTATGTTTTGCTAGGTCCTATGTCCTACTGTTAGTAGAGTTTTTAGGCTTTGGAGCTCAGCTATCAAGTTTAGACCTATAGCCTTCATTGCAACCAGTACGGATATGTGCAGGGCTACACTGAATTTCTACAGATTCCTTCCAGAGAGTGACTGAAAGATCATGACAAGCAAGAACTCAATCAGCTTTTCCTGCACATTAACCTCAGCTTTCCTCTCAAATAGATGAAAAGCTCACATCTCTGTGGAGCTGAAACAAAGCCTCTGTCACCTTTCTGCTTCTTCCATCCCCTCCACTGCTTTCTGTTTTTAAAATCTAGTCAAGTGGGAAAAGATCGTTTGACCGTGGAACTTAAATGTCGCAAGGCCTTGTGGATTTACAACAGTGGCATGCTCTGGAATCTGATTAGTCCGCTATATATCCACCACCAAAGTAGAGTTGGTACTGAATACATAGTGTATATTTTTTTCCCCTCTTTCTTTTTTTCAATAGCATTCCTGGGACCACCAGAAGTTACTATCAGTTCCTGTCTAAACTGCATAAATGTCACCATAAAGCTGCCAACCTCTCACTTCAGAGAAAATGAAAAGCTGCTGTCTTTAATTGATATATATGAAGAGCTTGATTATGAAATAACCCTGAGAACCCTTGATGGAGAGCATAAGGTAAAGAACTTCTTGTTCTATTTGTGGTTTAGGGGAGAAATACAGAAAGCAAAAAATGGCTCTGATGGTTAGCAAATTCACAGAAGCAAATACATGAATTGAAGATACTTAGAAGAAAACAAAGAGAATGGCCAACATAATCTTGGCTTCCTTTAGGCCTGCCTCTCTGCATTAAGAAGAGGAATACTAGTTGTCCTGTATCCTTACTTGAAATAAAGCCCAGGGCACTGGCTCAAGTGATTATTCTCTGGGAAGACAAGGGGAAAACAATTTAGCAGAAACTGCTAGCAAGTGCATGCACAGCTTATAGGAAAATATGTTCAGAAAGCAGTTCAGTCATTTTCTGTCAAACTGGAAGAATGTATCCAGTTAGTTTCTGAAACAGCCTGTTCTGGGTCTGGTACTAATTTTTTTATTTTTTTTTTTTGTATGAAATACAGAGATGGATAGGCATGATTAGAACTTAAAATGACCCTCACAAAATTGAGAACTAATCTTTAAAATAATAGGAGGTAATTCAATAAGGACCAATGCAAGGCATAATGCTTAAGAATAATTGCCTGTGTAATAAGTAGATTGGTAACAGCTACACAGGCAGCAGTTATGCCAGAAAGGATGAGAGCATTCTGTAATATTACAAGCTAAACATGACTCACATGTTGCTGAGAGATCAAAAAACCCCCATATTTTTACGTATTTAGTACTTCTAAAGCCCACCTACCCGTCACCAGTCTGGGGTTCAGAAAAGGCATGGACCAGTTGAGCAAGATCCAAAAAGGAACATTGAGGACTGTGGGGATCCTGCCACAGAACCTGTGAGGAAATGCTGCAATAATAGGGGACCGCGTAGTTTAAGCAAGCAAAGCACAGTTAGAGGCCAGAGTCTCTTGAGTACGGCCAACCGCACTCTGGGCTGCATCGGGAGAAGCGTGGCCAGCAGGTCGAGGGAGGTGATTCTGCCCCTCTACTCTGCTCTGGTGAGACCTCACCTGGAGTACTGTGTCCAGCTCTGGAGCCCTCAGCACAAGAAGGGCATGGAACTGTTGGAGCAGGTCCAGAGGAGGGCCACAAAAATGATCCGAG